TATCTATCTATCTATCTATCTATCTATCTATCTATCTATCTATCTATCTATCTATCTATCTATCTATCTATCTATCTATCTATCTGTCTGTCTGTCTGTCTATCTATCTGTCTATCTATCCGTCTATCTATCTATATATCTATCTATATATTTATCTATGTATCGATAATTCAGTTCATAATTTGGCTAAGATGTTAAGGTGTTCGCCTCTCATTCAATGGTCCCAACTTCGAATCCGGGTAATCACCGAAAAATTTCTTCCCTAAAATTGTCTTTCATCTCCTTAACTGCTCTCTAGCAATGTTCTGTTGTCTGCTTTCCCTCCTGCTCTCGGCTCCTGACTCTCTCTGCAGCCTTAGTACTGCTTCCTCGCTCCTTCTTACTGCTGTCTTTCTACCACACCCCTGATCTTCTGGTAGGAAAAATCTACATCTATCCTTCTCGGATAAGGGCGATAAATCTCGGAGGTCCGGTGTGCAAGTTGCGCACGTTACAGATCCCTTGGTGGTCCAAATTCGATAAGAGTAGACTCCGGCCGCTACTCGGGCAAAAATTCAAAATTCCCTATCAATATTGAAAATGCTCCGTGTGACACGCGCGCTCATCTGCAGTTGCGAGCGCCGCAAAACACTTACCAAAAACAAATCTATCTAACTATATATCTATCTATCTTTATTTAAGTTCTTAAGTTCATAATTTGGACAGACGTCGAGACCCCATGAAATCAACATTAAACCTGTCAGTTTCTCTTTGAGCACTTTAATCCTCATCACGACATTTGCCAGGTTACTAGTCTAGCATTCCAAGTATTGAACGCGAGAACAATGGTCTGTCAGCGTGGTGGAATCAGGCTCTCGTCAAAATAATGAGATTGAAGAAAACAACAGATTTCTTCTTGCTTAGCAATTTTTATCAAATTTTTGTTTTTTGGCTCAACACCTTTTATGTCCATTTGCAAACACATTCCTTTGAGGATTTCACCGAAAACGTTGATTAAAGGCACAATAAATATAAAATAACAGTTTCCATGGACTCTCCAGCTTTGGAATTTACCAAGCTTTGGCGGCCATTTTCTCGATAATTTTACCTCTTAAATCAGGTGACCCCCACCTCCTTCAATCCAAAATATTTCCACTTCTATTGAAGATCGATGGATAATGTTTTCATTGAAAGCAAGACAAATGAACAAGCTTTAAGATAATACCAATAACTCAATGTGCCCCAAAATTGACGAGAGCCTATTTCCACAACGCTGCCTCACAATGGTCTGACCTGTACCGTGTTCCTCCGTGCGTCGCCCAAGGTCATCTCAGTGTCCAGCAACGGTTTATAGGCTTAGTTTTAGTTTTAGTAAGGTTTTACGACGCTCGTTACTGCATAAGGTCATATGAGCGCCAAGGGGTGGACGTCAACAGAAAAGTCCAAACAGGGATTCAGGCTTACCCTGCTCACCTCTCTTGCCTCAACAGCGCAAAGTTTGCTTCGACTATCGAGGCACCCCGGAAATAGCAGTTCACAGGAATAAGACAAATATAAAAAAGAAGTAGAGGAAAAATGACGATAGTAAGGATGAGGAAAGAAAAAGCAGCAGTTCGCCCTATGTTGTTCCGGCACAGTATGAGCATGACATTTATAAATCATCCCATTTACAATTCTACTATGCATAAGAATAATATGTTAATATCCAACCTTCGGGAATGGCCTAAAGACAGTTTTGTCATTAGCACTGCCCTTGGGGAGGGAGGGGGGTTATAGGCTAATAGTAATAGGTGTACATTGAATTAGATTGAGGTTGATATAACATTACAGATTTGTTTACAACGCCATATTGATTGTTTGCTTGTTTGGGTAAAGAGATGCAAAACGACTCAACAACAGTACAAAATGTAATTTAGTGAACAGAAAATGTATGGCAGACAGACAATCAGACAGAGAGACAGACAGACAGACAGACAGACAGACAGACAGACAGACAGACACAGACACACACACACACACAAGGAACAAAAATAAAAATATCGACCCACTGGTGGCATTACTCACCAACATGTACAATACCATGGGATGGATATGCTGTTTTCCCTACTGCAAAGGATGGGGTTTGGGTAGGGGTGTAGCACATGTAGTTGTTTTCTTTTCGAGGGGGGAGAGGGGGGTGTACCTGTGCTGAAGATGCTGAGACAGGGCCCCAAGTGTTGTGTTTTGCAGTCTGCTTAAGAATGTATGGGTTAAACGTGTTTACCTGTTTAAAAATTGTTCCAGTTATCTCGCTGCTTTTCAGTGATACATGTACATTATGGCTATTTTCTTTTAAGTGACATTCATCAACCTCACCAAAAGCAAATTGTGAATAAACAATACTCCTACTCAAACAGCGGTTTTCAACATCATCTTAAGGCACCACAGTGGTGATCCGAGAAAGAGAGAGAGAGAGAGAGAGAGAGAGAGAGAGAGAGGGAGGGAGGGAGAGGGGGGGCAGACAGACGGACAGACAGACAGACAGACAGACAGACAGACAGACAGACAGACAGACAGACAGACAGACAGACAGACAGAGAAAGAGAGAGAGACGGGGAGAGAGAGATAGATAGATATAAAGAGACCGAGACAGATAGATAGATAGATAGATAGATAGATAGATAGATAGATAGATAGATAGATAGATAGATAGATAGATAGACAGATAGATTTCAACATTGTAGAGATAAAGCTGTTATCGTTGTCGTTTTCATTGTCGTTGCTGTTTTTCTCATAAAAACAATAAAATTGGCATAAGCTCTCAAGTTAGATACGTGCTCTTATGACCTTGTCTGTCCGTGCCAAAAAGCAATGTGCGAGACGTGTCCAATTAAAAAAATAGATAAGATTAGGTAAGATGATACTCTATTGACCAAATGGGAAATTTCTTTTTCTTGGCTGAACAGGAATGGTAAAAGTACAAGTAGTTATCAAAAGAATGTAAATTAGATATTACTTTCTTTAAAATTCGATACGAAGGGGAAAATAAAACTGACAATAATACACATATCACAATAGATGCATTTTTCAACGACATGCAGGAATTTATTACAGACATTTAAAGTTATTAATATACATTCGAATTATATATTACGTCGTTTTGAAAATCGCCAGCAATACACGTTATGTTTATTTCGATAGTAGCCGTAATTTCAGACGGTGAAAAACTTCTTTTTTTACTTTTTTTCTTTTACTTTTTTCAAAAGTTCTTAGTGGTACCCATCTGCCGCTTCGTGATCTTACAATTTGTTCGGAGAGAAGGTTTGTTGAGTTGTTTATATATGCTTGGGTTTTTTGGGTTTTTTTAATACTTGTGATCTTATTTATTTCATCAATCATGGTAAAAAAGAAATCCAGAGATCTTGCTGGCTTTCTTTATGATTCTGTCAAATTTTGTTTTGCCTTGGAGATACTCGAAAAATACCCCCCCCCCCCCTACTAGTGAATCGATGTAATATCGTTTGCGTTCAAGGCCAAAAGGGTAACCATGAAACAACAGAAAAAGGTATCGGTAGTAGTGTAGCGGTTAGGCACTTCGTAAACCCACGCAGAAGACCCGAGTTCGATTCTATGTTGGGAGAATTTCTACCGAGTATCTCAGTACAAACTATTTTTAAAATGCAATAGCAGTCTTTTAGCGATCCTGATATATGGTTCAAAGATATGGAAAACAAACAAAGCAGTTCAAAGAAATCAAAACACTTTCAAATAAAAGGTCTACGAGTACGTGAATTTATAAATAAAATGGAATTAATTTATAGCAAAAAATAAATTGTCGGAAAGGCTTGGATTAAAGACACCAACACAACCAAAAAAAGGAGAAAATAGAAATATTTGTGACATTTCTTGAGAATGCTAGAGACAAGATTGCCTTATTAGACATGGAACGGAGACCAAAGTATGGAAAATAAAAAAGAAATAGACCAATTGGCAATTATAAGAGTTCGATCAGGTCTGGGCCTGGATGTGTCAAAGCTAGAGGAAGTGACCAGGGACAAACAGGTATTCTGTCGACTGTTGTCTATCCTGTGTATCTGACAGCTCAGGGGGAGAGACAGAGAGAGAGAGACAGACAGAGAGAGAGAGAGAGAGAGAGAGAGAGAGAGAGAGAGAAGAAGAAGAAGAAGAAGAAGAAGAAGAAGAAGAAGAAGAAGAAGAAGAAGACCTCGATCTCCCTCTCAGCCTGCGTTGGCCCTGACAGCTGGGGCTGAAACCCTTGGCCTTCATAATCTAAATTGTGTCGATGGGTGTGTAAAAACACTTATATTTTGTATTAGTAGGACATAAAAAAGAACGTAACTCACCCAAGTAATCCTCTTCGAGGTCGGAGCTGGAAAGTAGACCCAGGATGATGCTTTGTGTCGCAACTTCCACAAAATCTAAATAAGGCGATGGTCGCCTAGGGTCGATGTCTGTTGTTCACAATACAATCGCACAACACTTTGGTACTCCCAGAATAGTCCGCTATCCTTTCAGTATTGCACCATTTCTTTTGCACATTATTATGCTAATCCTCTAGACGGTTTGCTCACCTCGTGCACAGATACTGACTTATCCAAAGAGTGTGCCGAATTTTTCACTCAGTTAAAACTCGTCTTGCGTGAAACAGAAGAGCTCGTTCCTCTTCCAGGGTTGTATCAGGGGTGACGTGTTCTTTATGAGATGGCACTGCATAAAAGACACCAAAAAAGTATTACTGCGTCATGAGAAAGAATTTAAGAAAGAGTTTTGAACTTTCGCCGTCATTTATGCTTTTAGTAAGGAAAAGTCAATTCAATATAATATTTCATAAGTGCGCGTTACAAAAGCCACGAGAAAAAATATGTCGCCAAAGTTAGCAATTGACAAAAGCACCACTCACCTCCAACCGACAGAAATCTAAACTTTTAGTGGTCGATTTAACAATTGTTTGTGTCCTTTTCACGTGTTTTGTCACAGGTTAAACAATCACAATTAGTTTGGACTGCGGTTCGTAGACGATGAGACACTCGCTTTGTAGTCCGGAGGTTCAGGTTTCAATGAAGGCATTCGCGTATTTTACTGAGTTTTGTGTGTGCAAATATCCATTTATATATTAGTGGACAAACTCGTTTCACGAGTGCACATGGTGCATTGCTTGCATGAAAGCACGTGACATATTTAAGAGCTGGGCGAGGGCGTGAGCCGGGCAATGAGTGAGAGAGAGAGGGAGTATAATAATACAAAAGAAAAAGGAGGGGG